ACATTTTTTGCCTTTGTTTTATGTCCACGATTTGAATGACAGACAGATACATAAGAGCCAGTCAATATCTTGAGCAAAATCTACATGCGAAGGAATAACCCTTTTTTTATTTTTAAAAAAATAGTTTGTGTGGTACCGTGTTCTGTAGTAGTAGTAGTAGTGAATGAGTATTTGTTTTGAATTTATTTTATTTTTTGTGATTCATTTATTCTTTTTAATAATAAAATTTGCATTAACTGTAGACGTTCCATTCCACTCCCTTGAAAAAAAAAAAAAAAAAATCATCACTCTGGTCCAAGATCACCTGGTAGATGTCAATTCCATAGGGTATCATGGATTTTGAAAGTACACAAAGGTACAAATTAGAGCAGGTGCTGAGTGTGAAAGACTTGCCCAAGGACTGATGCCTGCTGATGGATCTGAAATCAAGACATTTCTGTTCATTTAGCAACATGAACAGTTTTTTTTTTTAAACTCACAAGTAGCATCAGCAAATTTTTTGTTCTACCCAGCACCTAACACCAAATAGATATATGATCAAACAATAAATACCCAGTGACATCTGAAGGCAAAAGTTTTATTAAAATATATATATATATATATATATATATATATATATATATATATATATATATATATATATATATATATATATGTGGGATTGTGTGACAAAATGGAAAAGTTCACTTGTGATGTATTTTTGTCCTTCAAGACTTCAATGGACTAAATTTGGTATGTTGGTAAAACTACACACGTGTGACAGAGGGATGCTGGGAACTTTAGAATTTTTTTTTCTTACGAAATTTATTTAGAGTTTTTTTTCATCACTTTTGTAAGTAGGTATTCCAGACTGTGATGTTAGAAAGACTCTAAATGAATTCGGCTAGATAAAAAAAAAAAATTCTAAAATTCCCAGCACCCCTGTCGTGCACATATGTGCTCCTACCAACATAACAAATTTAGTTTGATGAAATCTTGACGGAAGAAACACATCACAAGTCAACTTTTTACACTTTGTCATACAATTTCACGAATACTGTTGTTGATATATATGGATCGGAATCTGATAGGATGATAAAATAAAGAACAAGTAGGAAATGTATATCAATCTAACATGTTTCGGTTTTATTAAAGCTTCGTCAGAGATTAAGAGAAAAATGCTTTCTCTCAATATCTGATGAAGATTTAATAAAACCGAAAAATGTTAGATTAATATATGTTTCCTATTTGTTCTTTATCTTATCATATATAAAAATGTAAGATAAATAAAGAATAAAAAATAAACTGATGCAACTAAGGTTTCACCCCTAAAAATGAAGGATCATCAGACCAGGTTCAATCTATTGAAACCTGAGTAGACTCAGTTTTATTTTTTTTTTATTCTTTATTTATCTTACACCCTATAGGATCTACATTTTATTGAGCACTTTAAATTGCCAACTTTATCATAGCTAGAATTTACTATGATTGTGTTTTGTTATATATATATATATATATATATATATATATATATATATATATATATATAAATTATCCCCAAAAAAAAATATATACACTTTAAAAAAAGTAAACTAAAGGGTGTATACATTTTTTGAAAACCCTGTATATGTACATACACACAAATTTATATAATTAAAACAGTTTAATGAGTTTAGTCTATAATAATATTCTTTTGGAAATTTATTTTTAGTTGATAAATTTTCAGTGTTTTACTATGAGTTTTATGCATTCTTATTATTGCTGTTTTTATCACACGTAATTATTACGTTATTTGACACTTTTATGACTGTTGATTTTTATAACAAATTTATTATTAGTAATTTTACTCAATCTTATTGCTTTTTTATTGCTAACCTCTTTAATTATAACTGAGTTTTACTATTTCTGTGTTGCTTTTTATCTAAATCTGTTATTATTTACGAGTTTTAAGCCATTAAATCATTCTTTATTGAAAATATCTATTTTGTTACTAGTTTTAGTTAATTGTACTATTGCTACTTTTTATTTCAAGACTTTATATTTATATTTTTATTTAACTTGTTTCACTCACTTATATAATGAGTCCTGACTTAAAAATAAGTTAATTTAAATCAACTCTTTTTATATATTTACAAATCATATTATGAAAGTGAGGAATTTTTATTCTTTGTGTTTTCTTTTGGCTGAGGAGGACAACCTGTCAATTAAATCAATTGAGAAACCAGATTTAAGAATATCCAGACTCCAGACTGCAAAATTTACAACATAACAGAGAGAAGTTGGAGCTGTTTTGTCCTCAAATTAATTATTGGCCTTTAGAATTTTTTTTTTTTTAGTTTTTAAATTTGTCATTTTTACCAAAAGCTTTACAGGCCAATTATCAGTTTATTTTTTTCAGATAAATATTGCACCCAGGGTATATATATATATATATATATATATATAAGTTAGATTATAAATATAATTAGATACTAAGCATTTTATACTTTTTAACAAATAGTACATAAGATAAAGAAAACCTAAAAAAAACAATACTAAAAGTAAACATATCAGCAAAATCTTAAAACTAATATTGAATATATCTGATCACTTGAAGAAGGTTGATTGTTTGATTTTGTTTAGCAGCACATCAACATCACTATGGGTTATTTAATGCTGAAATCTAGATATCTTGAACACAATCTTATGGCTTTACCTAAATATATTTTGAACACTGCCTTCAACTACAGATAAAAGGTATTGTTGGTCATTTTACTATGAAAATGTATCGTTATACTTTCATAGTGTTTTGTTTTTGTTTGGAGGTTCACTATTTTCCCATAGCTGGGACCCTAACAGGTGCTACCACTCCAGGTCTGGGTGGAGCTGGGAACAATAGCAACTAAGAGGTGGTTCCACACTCCTCAAAACCTCCAATCTCCTGATCAGAGGCCTTGCTGCTAGATGTAGTTTATCATCATACCCAGTACTAGGAGAAGGTTGAAGAATTTACTGGATGAAATGTTACAAAAGAAAGATAAGGATACTGGTTTGGAAGATAAGCTATATCCTACTTTTTTTACCTATATTATTAGTGAATGATGGAGTTATAGAAAATAAAGTATAAATAGTCTGCAGTATCCGACTAAAGATTAGTCAACCATATGCTTTGAATTTATAGATAAAACCCAATAAATATTTTTAGACATATTTTTTTTGGAGGGGGGAATGTTATATGCCATTAAATATTATTGTAATGGAATGTCCCACTCTCCCTATTACTTATTGTGGACTGACTATATCACTAGGTATATATAGTGTGCACAGGATATACCTGGGACTTGCTTCGGGAATTACAAGGCTTTCAGTAGTGTATTCTCTTTTACAATAAACCTCTCTTTTTTTCATCTAAACTTGTGTTACTGTTCCTTTCACTTGAGTACCACCTTTGTTTGTAACCTCTCTAAGGATAAAACAAATATAATAAGTAAAATAAGAATTTGGGAATAATTTACAGTTTTATAATCAAAATTTATTAAATCAAATTAACTATTCAAGTTAATTTTCCCATTTAAATACTCTTAAAAAAAACATTTTAAGAGCTATTTTTTTCCAGCATTATTTTAAAAATAAATTTTCTGTCTTGGGTATGATGATAAACTACATCCAGCAGCAAGACCTCTGATTGGGATGTTTTGAGAAGTGTGGAACCACTTCTTAATTGCCGTTGTTCCCAGGCCCATCCTGACCCAGAGAGGTAGCACCTGTTAGTGTACCAGCTATGGGCAAATAGTGAACCTTCAAACTGGGGTCAAAAAACTGAAAGTATAGATTTAAAAAAAAATAAAAATAACTACCAACAGATTTTCGTAAAAAGAAGAAAATTACTCAAGCTCTCCAGAAAATTAAATTTTGGCATTAAATGATCCATGAGTTGATATGCCATTAAACAGACAAAAAATTTTAAGTAAAGAGAATAATGCCCCTGCATATATATACTTTTTTTTAACCCCAGAACTAGAATTAACTTGGCTGAGAATTTGGCACTGAGATGTTAGGTACAGGGAGTTAGTTAGGTACATGTTAGGTACAGGGTAGGTTTTCCTGCAAGGCAAATCTGAACGTGTGTTGCATTTGTATTTTTCCTTCAATGATTTTTTTTTTTTTTTTTTTTTTTTTTTTTTTTTTACTATGTATCATATTGCAAATAAACCTTATTTAGGAATTTTTAACAGCATTGAGTTCATGAAAAAGAAACAAAAAAAAAAAATAAATAAATAATAACCAGTTTCGTGCAGTTTTAATAAAAGTGGAAAATGTGAAAAGCCCCTTTTTATATCAGTTACTTATAGTTACATATTGTGTACTGCAAGAGAGAAGAGTACAGCATGGTATGTGTACCATCATATTACCATCTAACCAGTTATTGTATTTCAAAGACATACAAGAGTTTTAAAAAAAAATTTTTTACGGTGATTTTCTAAGATATTTTCCACTGTTTATTAAAATATATATCTGTGTGCGTTACCTTTTTTTTTTTTATGTTTATTTAAAAAAAAAAAAAAAAGATCCCAAAAGCTATAAAGTACATGTCATTTTGAATCAAGGGAATTTAAGAAGTCTCTTTATCTGGACTTCATTTATTGGCGGGGGTACGTAAATCACAAACTACCTGAAGAAATACATGGATCACCAGTCGAAATCTTGCAAATCGAAGGCACCAACAAAAAGCAAATGGCCCAGATTAAAGGAAATTCCCATAGTTATTGATGCTGTTAAACATTTAAAATAAAGTAAATTTGCAATATGAGAACATAAAAAAAAACAAGAACAAAACAGAGAGATATATATAGAGAGAATGGCCATTGTAGACATCATCATAATTCATCTTTGCCTTTTTGCTCACTGTCCAATAATGAGTCTGAAGGGTCACTGCTAAGTTCAGTAGAATCATCCGAATGATCATTATTCACTATTAAAATATTTTCACAGTCACTTTCCACCGGGATTTCTCTATCCTCTGTTTCAGCACTTGGCTCTACCTGTTCTTGCTGCCCAGCATCACCCTCCCCAAATGGAAAACTCGGCAGCTGAATATCTTCAGGTTTCTCATTCTCATCGGGATCCGCTTCTTCTATATTTTCCGTCACATCTGTTTTTCTTTCCATCTTATCAAAATAAACTCCATTATCATTTTTACTGTTTTCAGATAGGATCCTTAACCAAAGGTGTGGTTCAGCTACGTTCTCCCCATCTTGGGAACTGCTACTACCCTCATTATCACTTTGTGAATTTTCAGTATTAGGTTCAATATTGATCTGAGTGTCTTGTTCCTGAGAGAGGCCTTCTGTGTCTTGCTCCTTCTCTCTGTTTCCAGTCTCTTTCTCAACCCCATCTTCCTTCTGAGTATGTGTATTGGATTCATCGGCAACACTCTTCTCCTTCATACCAAACGGTGGTTCATCTTTTATAATGATCAGCTCAAAGGCCAGCTGGTCAAGCACAACTTTCTCACTGGCGTCCAACTTGCCAAAATTGAAATATGCTGCTTCCAGGACCCTCGTAATAGCTCGTAGATACTGACTTTGTAAATCCAACTGGGGAAAGTTAGTCCGTTCCCTGAGCAAAGACACCAGCTCAACGTAGATCTGATTGAGTTTCGGCTTGTTTTGTGAAGGTTCTCTTTTCGAAAGATGAGCAAAATGGAATGCAAGACGTTTGGTACCGTCAGGAAGCAGGTGTAAGTGAATTATTCCTGTTTTTTTCAACTTGGATGAAGAAGATAATAAGGATGATGCTGATGATGATGATGATGACGACGATAATGATACAATACTGATCTCCATATAAACATTGTTTGAGCCAACACGAATGAAGTAATTCCCATCCTTGTCTTCGAGAACTAATGGTTCCCTTTTAACATTGTACGGTTTCCTGTCCATTGCAGGCTGGTAGAGGAATTCTTCAGCCTTTATTGCATGAGGTGGAGTCTGGAAGGACTGAATGGTTTTGAGGTGCTGGAATGTCTTTCGTGGTCGATTCGTGCCAACTGCTGGGGTCATTTTTGGGGGAACATCTGTAGGAGTCTTCGTCTGGGATGCTGGGGGAGAAAAAGAAGAGAAAGATATTTGTATGTTTTTTCCTTGTTTTTTATTAACACATTTCAGAGATCGTGATAAAATGTTACATAAATTAAATTTTCTTCACCACTATATAAAATAACTTATTAGGCATAATAAAAAAACAAATTAGCAAGATGAAATTTAAATCTCTTTTTACTATGAAAAACTATAAAGAAAAAAAATATGAAAATGTTTAATTAGAATCAATTAAGGTTAATTCATTTTATAACATAGAAGATAGGACCGTATTTGACGGTACATAAGGAGCACTTCTTTTTACTAAAAATATCTTTAAAATTCCCCTGCGTCTTATATGCCATATGTAGGTTTAAAATTTGTGATAGTCAGACAAAATTAGTTACCTAGCAACTCCTATTAGCTTAGACTTAAACATGAAGGAGCAATGGAACATGTAGATTGCAAGAAGGAAGAATAAAAAGACCCAGCATTGCACAAGTCTGTGACTGGGTGAAGCAAGCTTGGGACAATATTAGACCAGAAATTGTTGTGAAATCTTTTAAAAAAGTGTGGCATTAGCAATACTCTCAATGGAACGGAAGATGATGGATTATTTAATGACAATGATACTGAAAATGACTATCAGAGTTTTGATAACGAAGATGACGAATTTCATGGATTTGAAGATGAATAAAATTTTAATGGTAACTGTACTGTTTTGCTCAATTGTAATAATTGCTTGATTTTTATTTTGTTTTCTTACCTTTGGATATAATAAAGTTTTTATAGGCTTGTGTTCTTTATTTTCCTGTTATTTTTCATTTAATTGTAATCATGGCGTGTTTAACCAAAATAATACCTCATAAATATAGCCTAGGCTGTACCATTTACTAATAACTTTACTAATTACCAATTTTTTCTTGATTTGCCCTGCTGAAATTGGGGTGTGTCTTATATACCATCAAATACAGTAATTCTTTTCTTTTTATTTACTTGCTCAAAAGCTGTTTCCAGTAGTCATTAATATTACTAGTTTAATACCTGTCATTTCACTAATGGCAAGATGATCAAATTTCAAATCTAAATTGTCCTTTTTAAAATAGTACATTTATTAGAAAATATATTCAGTTTAAATACAAAAGTCATTTATTTGAACCAGCATTTATGATCCTAGTTTGGTACACATCACTTACTGATGGCAAAATGTCACTTCAATGATGGCAAGATGATCAAATTTCAAATCTAAATTGTCCTTTTTAAAATAGTACATTTATTAGAAAATATATTCAGTTTAAATACAAAAGTCATTTATTTGAACCAGCATTTATGATCCTAGTTTGGTACATCACTTATTGATGGCAAAATGTCACTTCAATGATGGCAAGATGATCAAATTTCAAATCTAAATTGTCCTTTTTTAAAATAGTACATTTATTAGAAAATATATTCAGTTTAAATACAAAAGTCATTTATTTGAACCAGCATTTATGATCCTAGTTTGGTACACATCACTTACTGATGGCAAAATGTCACTTCAATGATGGCAAGATGATCAAATTTCAAATCTAAATTGTCCTTTTTAAAATAGTACATTTATTAGAAAATATATTCAGTTTAAATACAAAAGTCATTTATTTGAACCAGCATTTATGATCCTAGTTTGGTACACATCACTTACTGATGGCAAAATGTCACTTAAATGATGGCAAGATGATCAAATTTCAAATCTAAATTGTTTGTCTATTTAAAATAGTACATTTATTAGAAAATATATTCATTTTCATAACAAACAATTTTCATAACAACATTTTCATAACAAAATTTGAAGAGACATGATCACACAAGCATATATCACACATGGCAGTTAACCGACTGATTGAAAAACAACAAAATACAAGAATTTGCATCAATGTATGTTAATAAAATTGCTCCGTACCTGAAGGTCGAGGGTCAAGTGCCAATAAGACTTCTAGGCTGTAATTTTCACTGAGGGTTTCAAGTAATTTCTGCCCTTCTTTGTGAAAAAGAAACACAAGTGGAATACCGACATCACGGTGGCCATCCCCTGACATGGCAAATAATGGTGAGGTATCACTGCTGCTTCCATGATTGTGGTCTACAGGTGAGAAAAAGAAACAAGTCAAATATTAGTTCTATTTAAACAGTTTCAGTCTCTTTTAAAAACAAGGGGTTTTGATCCACTTCATTTTTCACAAGTATTTCATTCTTCATACGTTCAGTTTCTTTATCTACACTGGTAGCATGAATAATGGTAATATAGTCTTGAAGTTAATTATTATTAGAGATGAAGCACTGTCAAACATTATTCATTGACTGGTCCTCTCAAAAAAAAAAAAAAAAAAAATAGGAAAAATGTAACCCATAATAGACCAAAAATAAAAACAAGATTTTCCTAACCATGTAACAACAAAAGGAGTTTATGTTGTAACCACATTATATATAACAATTCATTCACTAGCTCAGTCACTAAATTTACTTTCAGAACCTACCACTATTCTAACTGTAGAAGTCATAACATAATTTACCTATTAGAATGCCCACTATGCCAGAAAAAATATGTGGGAAAATCTGAATGACCCTTTCACTAGAGAATTAATAATTATCTGAATCAGATCAAGTTGGCTCCCCATGAAAGATTATTACCTGTAGAACAACATTTCTGCCTACAAAAACATGATTTTAAAAGCCATGCAAAATTCACTACAATTGAAAAAATAGAAAAAGACAGAAAAGATAACCTTAGAAAAATACTACAGGAATATGGAGACAAATGGATTTTGGGCTTCAAAACATTTTGTCCAGATGGGCTTAACCACAAATTTAACAACATAGATAGAATTAATATATAAACCCATAAATCAAGCCCTACCCAAATTTCTCACCCACACAAGATAGACATGCTTGCAGAGGTGTTGAGGCCTCACACTTATACATACACTCATATTAATATATACACATACCTCACACACTCCTAAAGAACTAAAAGATAACATACACTTAACACACACATCCCATAAAACTGTCAAAATGACCAAAGAGGGAATTCTTAAAGTCAGGAATCTTCCATCCTTTATCTTCAAAACAACTTGAAAGAGGCTGTTTGACCAGCACAAGGGCTGACCAAAATTAACGATAAAAAACAAATGAAAACTACAGATAAAGTTCACCTTTCTTCAGAAATAGTCATTCACTCATGTAGTTCACTGCTACTAATAAGCTTGGATTTTTTTTCTCCTGATAATGGCCATGCTGACCAAAACTAGCTGAGGAAGCTAAGTGAAATAATAAAACAAAAAATATTCATATACAATCCAGTATGTCTGAAAATTTGTATTTTTAATTTTTTTTAAAATCAAAAATATATATATATATATATATATATATATATATATATATATATATATATATATAGAGAGAGAGAGAGAGAGAGTGCACAATTGGTTAAATTGTTGCCATTTCATATTTTTCATTTACCACATATGCATGGTTTGTTTTTGATTGTCTACTGCACTGTATAGTAAGCACTATGAGAAAAAGAGCACCATGATGTAATTCACTCCACCAGAAATCTGGAAATGACATACTGTACTACTTGGCATTCATACCAGAAGCTTCAATACAAATATTTCACAGTAATTGGGTGTCAATTTGTGAACAGTGCAGAGAATTTGGAAAGAGTTGGAAGAGTTTAATGGTGATTTCGAAGGTGTTTGATCACTCAGAAAGGCAATGTTATGACTCCATTCATCTACCCACAGAGCCTCAGACTCAACATTGAGGCAGACATCAAGTGCTTAGAGGAGGTAGTGCTACCCTGGGTCAAGAGGGTGGCTGCTGGAAGACCCTATGTCTTGCAAAAGGACTCTGCATCATGCTACACAAGCAGGCAATTTTTAAATACAGTCATGGCTGTCAGACAAATTTCTGCGACCATCACCCCACATTTGGCCACCTAATAACCAGACTGCAAACCCCTTGATTATTGTGTGGGGTGCAGCAAGTCTAAACTAACAAAATTCCTTAGAACACCAAAGATGAAATGAAGGCAAGGATTATAGCAGCATTGACCAGCTTAAACAAGGAGACTGTCCAGAAATGTTGCAAGATATTCTGGTCGTCTGGACACTGTGGTTGAAGTCAATGGTAATTTTATTGAATAAAATTACTCTTTAGCATTTCAAGAGATTTTTGTGTAATTTTGGTAAATATATTTGTTAAAATGAGATATCAGTGTTATTTTCATTTTCGTATAATTTAAACAATTTATCCACTGCACCTCTCTCTCTCTATATATATATATATATATATATATATATATATAAACATGTTTCATTGAATTAGACATATTGTGTCTATTTTTATTCTGATCCTTTCCTTCCTTGATGAATTTCATCTTAACATCAAGAAACTGATTAGGCAACTGGAAAGGATTATTATAAAAATAGGCATATATCTATATTATTCAATGATACATGCTTGAATGAAGATATGCTGCATATACATATGTGTGTGTGTGTGTGTGTATATATATATATATATATATATATATATATATAGTGTATTTAGGCAGCAATCCTTCTTTCATGCATGCTTCATTAAATATGACAGATAAGGTGCTTTGATTAAGTTTTTTATATAATTTCTCATGTGATCTTATAAATTTTTTCTTTTCAGTAGATAAATTATATAAAAACTAAGCAAATGTTATATTTTTCAGAGTACTTTTGGCTATACATTTAGCCATTTTCAACGATGAAATATATTATATATATTAACTGTTAATTAAAATTATATAAAAACTTAAAAGCACCTTGTCTGTCATATTTAATGAAACTTATATATATATATATATATATATATATGCAAGTTTTCATTAAATATGACAGACAAGGTGCTTTAGGTTTATATATATATATATATATATATATATATATAAAATAAAAATCACTTGGTTCACCCCCACCTTCTTCTGCAAACTGCCAAGTATCAACATCAGACAGTACTTCCTAAACTTAATTACTAAACACTTCAACAAAAAAAAAATAAATAAAAAAAAATAAGATATTCAACAGGAAATCAATCAAAATTAGCTACTCCTGCATTGATAATATGTACCAAATCATTAATTCCTATAACAATTACATTTTAAGTAAATTCCATGGGGAAAAAAAAACTAAATCTAACATGGGAACCCTCTGTAATTGTAGAATTAAGGAAAACTGCCCAGTAGAGGGCAAGTGTAGATCCACTAGGGTAGTATACCTGGCAAACATTACCCCTAAAGAAAATATGACAAACCATAATATTTATATCAGCATTTCTGCAGGAGAATTTAAAAAGAGAATCAATACACATAGACATTCATTCATCAATCCAAAATTAAAACATCAAACAGCCCTTTTGAAAAAATTTTGGAAATTGAAGGAAAAGAAAAGAAAAGGAAAATCCTCAAATAAATTGGAAAATTCTAGGTTTTGCAAACACCCTCAACAGTTTTAGGGATAGGTGCAAGATATGTTTATAAGAAAAAAATCAGGATAATAAAATATAAAGATCAATGCAAACTATTAAATCAATGGAGAGAACTAATCACAAAATGCAGACACAGAAATAAATTCCAAATAACATAAGAATACAGGTGCATATATGTGGGTGTGTATGTGTACATATAGTGTATGGACATGTAAATGTACATATATGTATGCATGAAGATGTGTACGCATATAAGTGATTTATTCCATTGGGTGCTCTGGTATTACCTACAATCTATAACTAAACTAATTTATATTAATCTTAACGAGCTTAAGTTTAAATCCCCCATCGCTTATTAATAGTATTGGACACCTGTAGTACAAAAACTATTTACTGTGAATCCCAGAAAAACACACTCAGGGCTTTTACACCACATAGTAGGAACTGGTATTAAACTACAAACAACAAGTCCTGGCCATAAATAAACTCCAACACCAGACTGCTTCCCCCGGGATAAGATACCTACACCCCCAACAATTGCTAACACAAACCCATTCTCATTAACAAGGCATCTACCAGAGGAGGACTGACATTGAAAATAAATTTATGCAAGACAGACAGGGGCTGATAGTCTATTTCAAGCCTTTCATATGCGGCTATCTTCTATGTTGAGGTAATTTTTGTTTTTTTGCTGTAAAATATATATATATATATATATATATATATATATATATATATGTGTGTGTGTGTGTGTGTCTCTCTCTCTCTCTTTTATATATATATATATATATATATATATATATATATATATATAAGGCTGACAGTAATTTCATTAAGTGTTAAAATATGGCTTGTTTTTGCTCTACTGATGTAAGGTGAGGAAACAATGACAAAATTTAACCTGATGAGAGTTTATAAAATGATGATTGTGAACAATTTTTTAATTTTGTCTCGTATTTCCATCTTGATTTTAGAAGCATTTCAACAATAACAAAGGCCATCATTCTAGAGTCTTGTTTAGATTTGAAATAATTGTAATTTATATTAATTATTATTATTATACACCAATTTATCAAAACCCAAATCCGGATGTCAATTGTAATATTTACAACATTTCGGCCATTTAACTCATCAGCCTACTTCAAGTGCTTGCTGTATTCACTAACATTCTGGTAATTTTTCATTTTTATTTAATTCCTTGTCTGTACATAATAAACTGATTTCTACAAACTGTTTTAACAATTTGAATGTTATTTAAGCTTTCTTCTTTTCACAGAATAGATTGAATAAATTTAGAATTGTTCAAATGAAAATATTTACATACCAATGACAATCCCACCAATAGCTCCAGCTGCTTCAATATTTGATGCCTGCAAAAACAAATAAAATAATAGTTACCAACATTATGCCAAATAAAATAGTCAACTAAAATTATATGAAGAAAATTGTTAGTAATTTTTCAATGGTCTTACTTTTACTTCTTTTGTTTCTTTAGATCTCATAATAGTAGTAGTCATCTGAAGTTGTTTGGATCATTGAAGCATTGTTATTATTATTAATTTTTGACTAGTCTTTCTTTCATCTCATTTCTCTTGCTTCTTTACACCTAGTAGTAGTGGTGTGAATTTCTTAGATGAAGCCTTTTCGTGTTACCAGTGAGGGAAAAAATGTAGATTTATTATTATATCTCTGTTATACATCAAGCAATATTTTATTCCCACCAGCACACAAAGTACAATATTGTGTGTGTGTGTGTGTGTGTATATATTCTTGGCCGACTTGAAGTGGAAAGATTATATTATATTGATTGCTTGGTCTGCTGCTAAGAAGGTTAGTTCCCTGTGTTGTGTTAGAAAATTTCTCTCTCTTGAATCTATCTTATATATAATTTTACCATTTGTCCATGCTTTGAATATTGCTGCCACATATGGTTTGGTGATCTTCCTATATATTTAGAGATTCTTGATAAAATACAAAGAAGAATCAGCAATATTACTGGTCCTAACCTAGCATCTTGGTTTTAGTCACTTTCCCAATAGTGTAAAGTTGCTTACCTGTACCATATCATGTATAAATACTTACATTGTAATTGTTCGGATGAGCTTTTCGCTATGGTTTAATTCCCCATCCCCTCCCACATTAGGTGGTTAGTGATGTCAGTTCACTGGTGGATGCGGGGCGCCTTTTGTTTCATGTGTGTGTTTTTGTATTTGTTGTTGTGTCTGAATGAGTGCGTGTCAGTGTGAGTGCTTGGGATGAATGAATGTTTTATACTATTATAGTCCCACATTGATTTCATCCAGTTAACTGATATTTCTGCCACATTTAGTGATTGTGAGGGGTTTTATTAGTAACATTGTTTTATTTACTTTCTTGTAAATAGTTTTGTTTTCATATTATAAATACTCACTGGAGCTAGTTTAATAGTTTAGAATTGTTGTTTTATTCCCCTCCCCCCACAGACAATGAATTGTATATATGGGGACTAGTTAGTATTGCTCTCTGTAGTTGAGCAGTTAAAGTATGCCAGATCAGAAGTTGGTTTCTCCTATAAAGGGGGACATAGGTCTGAACCCTGGTAGAAGGCACAATTTCTTTATTAAATTTTCTCCAGTGCGCAGACCAATACATGAAATAAGCACCGCCTAAAACACAAATTATCTACTTAAATACTGGTATCCACTAAAAATAACATTCCAATACACACACACATTTTATATATATATATATGTGTGTGTGTGTATTTGAGCAGCAACCCCTCTTTTATACAAGTTTCATTAAAGATGACTGACAGGATACTGAAATTAGGCATTTTATTCAGTTTTTCTTGTTTGTATAAGTGATTACTTTTTAGGACATAAAGTGTGTAAAAACTCTCTGCATACTCTATGTATAATCTAAGCATTTTCGTCTATTAGACGTAACAAAGTATATTTTCTTCATTTTTAACTGAATGTGTAGATCTTTTATATATGTTTCTAGAGTGATGGGAATGTTTAAATGCAATTCCCATTCAATTTTTTTTTATCCCTATTTTCTTATATGTAACACCTCCACCTAGAGTCTGTAATTTTATTTACTATTTATTTTTATTATTATTTTTTTCTCCCTCAATAGGAGTAGATAGGTTTGTAGAGGATTGTGTGGGTTTGCATGTTGTTGTATTAGGGACATGTGCTGTTTATTCCTGCTAGAAGGTCCAACTACAAGAAAATGGCGGACTCAAGTTGAGTCCAACCGAAGACTTAACAAAAACAAACAAGACCAATATATATATCTCAACAAATATATGTATTAAACAATAAATTTACAAGTGACAAAGACATTAACATTTGTGTTTGTGTGTAAACGTAAAGAGTTTGTATGTTGGTGAAATATTTGTATGTACGTGTATGTGTGTTTAATGGCGTTTTCCCATAAGTGGGCGAAAATGCTGATCTATGTGAGAGATTACATTTTTAAACGAGTTCGCTGAAATGCAAAGTAGAAAAGAGAATGAGGTAAGAAGTTGCCCAGTATTTATAGTGTAGGGAGAGCGACTCCTAGTGAACAATTAGGGAACTAAGGAGGAGTTAACTCCAACAGGTCTGCCTATCATACAGTTTGCACTCTTTCTTGGTCTTTCAAACAGGAGTAGAAGTTTATTGCTTGTTTTCTGTTTAGGATTGGGTTTCAGTTACTTCTGAAGTCTTTTCATTCTCTTTAACTCTCAGTTACTCCCCCCAGCGTTTTAGGGGCATTATCGCCTTGCTTGGGGTGAATTGATTAAAAAAAAAAAAAAAAAAATTATCATATGAGCACCATTATTCATTTTCACCAGCTAAGTTTCACCATGTTACATCCATGAAATCTACTCACCCTTATTCTCTATGTATTCCATTTGTAAAGAGGAAGTTCTTCTCAGCACCCCCTCCAAGAACTGCTATCTTGTGGAACAGATTCCTGCGTGAATGCTTCTTTAAATGCTTCAGTCTTAGCCTCTTCATGTCAAGGGTCAATCGTTATAATATACTACTTATCCTCATAATCTTCACTTCCAAATTCCTATTCTTACATTCATATCACACACCTCATTCAGTATCCATCTAGCTTGAGTGGCTCTTGAGTATTGTATTGAGTGAACTTCAGTAGAAAAAAATAAAGTCTGTTTACCTTTTCAATAAACATGCAATCTCCTCTTTCCAAAATTGCAATATAACCCTTGATACTTTCAGCATTAGTCAAAGGTGTACATGCTTTGTAAGGGTCTGCAATCACCAGTTGGCCTTGGATCTGAAATTTAAAAGATTATTTGTTTTATATTTCTGTCATAAATCAGTTATAAAAAAACAATCTGATAATAATAATAATAATATAGTAATTCAATTTTATAATTCTCAGTGGATATTAAAAAAAAATTAATGTCATTATTGACCGCTTTGGTTTGGTTTATTTTCTTTTATGGCATATCAATCTTAATTGGCTATTTAATGCTGACAAGATTTTTAGGATAGGTTTGTATGAATAAATATGTATTCTTTGTAAGAATTCAGTTTACACATCAGGTTTCATTGACATATTTCTGTAAAGAGGGTTTTTGTCAAGAGTCAAATGCATTGCTAATATATTTTTTTTCAAAAATGTATTGCTGGTATTTTTACTATAAAAATCTATTTTTATACTTTCATTGTGTTTTGATCCCAGTTTGGGGGTTAACTATTTGCCCATAGCTGGGACCATAACAGGTGCTACCACCCTGGGTCAGGGTGAACCTAGGAACAACAGCAATTAAGAAGTAGTTCCATGCATTTCAAAACCTTCCAATCAGAAGCTTTGCTACTGGATGTAGTTCATTGTCAGACCCAGCATGACGCCATTAAGTTGAATCATAAATAATTTCAGTTTTTGTTTATCAACTTTATTCTTCAAAAAATATAGTACAACATTATGTTGCTCAATTATATATTCACCATTATTTGCAATGACTAAAGGGGGCTCCCTAAAGAGTCCTCTAATATTGGGTACATGATAAAACTAAAAAACAATTTTGAGTAAAATTCCACAGGTTTTGATGTGAAAAAGTTTTGTACAACATTTGAGTCTGGTTTTCGTTAGAGAAAGTGTTTTGCAATGACTAAAAAAGGTAATCAGTTGATGACATGTCAGGTAAATATGGTGGCTCAGGTAGAAGAGACCAATTTTTTCCTGTGTTATTCTTGCTATATGTGACCTTAGATTGTCTTGGTGGAGAATTTTTTTTTTTTTTTTTGCTTCAACAGCAGAAAGGTAAGTTTTTTTTTTTTACATCCTATTGTGACCAGTGATGAAAAGTGGATACACTACAATAACCCTAAGCATAGAAGATCATGGGGTAAGCCCGGCTATACATCAACATTGACAGCAAAGCCAAATATCCATGGTTCAAAGCTTCTGCTTTGCATTTGGTGGGATCAACTGGGTGTAGTTTATTATGAGCTGCTCAAAGCGACCCCATCCAATTATCACTTGTTCTGATTGATGGCACATGGCCTGGCTGAGTAGCACTTTTATTCTTATGAATACAAAATGAATGCAAAAAAATGGGTCAACTCATGGTTAGCCGTAAAATACGTGTCGTTTTTCCAACATGGATTTCAAATGCTGCCAAAAAATGAGAAAAAGTAGTGGCTAGCTATGGACAATACTTCCAGTGACATGTTTCTTACTAATTTTTTAAATAAAACATTACTTTTCATGAAAAATCAGCAAGAACTTATTTCAAGTCCTAATATATATTGTAAAAATAAGTGTTTTAATAATTAAAGCTGATAAATCCATAATAAACAAAGAAAAATATAGCAATAAATGGATAGTTAAAAAAATTTATTGTTTTATTTTTAAAATAAGTGTTATTTAACAAGTTTAATTTATTCAGAATGTTTTGCTAAGAATTATTATATTAAGAACATTTCATACACTGTATTTGTTAAATTATTTATACATTGGAAAGAATAATTCTACACTATATTTAAACATAACATTTCTCTTTTTTATGAAAGAGGATATAATTTTTGAAATTGTAGGAAAATCATTTCAAATAGTAATATTTGTTTTGTTTATCTCTGACTATTGGTTCAGTATTGTCAATGTCTTTCTCTATCATTTATCATTCAAACATTTTTAACAAGATTTGCCAATGACATTATTCATTTATCCTTATTGATTGTAATGTAGCATTTGATGATGAACTGTTTATTCCAATGTGTGTGTATATACACACACACACACACTTTGGGTAAATGGAATTCATCAGCCCAGGAGGGTGGTCCATCTAAAAGAAGGAAAACTCTAATCTTAAACCTCTGCTATCTTGTGGTCATACTCAATCATGAGAAAGGCTTTAGGAGTAAATCCTGAGGACAAATCCAGAGCAAGAGTCCCTAAGAGAGTACAATGTTATGTTCAACTTTGTTCTGGCAACTTCTGTGACAATACTGGTGCCAAGCTGTATTGGATTCTACCTTTCCCTTGGACAACATTGGTGACATGGAGAGAGAAGACATGCTGTATGGGCAACTGCTGATTTCTTATAAACCCCTGCAGAGGCGTACGCCTTGAAGAGGACACTCCTGTGTCACCACAACAGAAAAACATGGGAAGCAACAGTCTATTGATGGGAGGATCCCAAACTGGCCACCAGCACAAGATCGACCCTATGTTCACTGCATAAGGAACATGAGGTTGATGGACATTGTGAGGTGGAAAGATGTTGCCAACAATTGCCGATGCTGGAGATGCAACTTACACTGAGATCTGGAACGAGGAGAGAAGTGTGCTCAAAGGAAAGTAAACTTCATGGTGACATTGGGAGAGAGCAGCTTAATATGCATTCATTGCAATCGAGACTACCACAACCATGTGGAACATGTACAACCATAACAGTTGCTGCATCATGATCAGTGGTTGAAGCATAACTTTTGGGGCACAGATCCAGGGTCTCTCAAGACAAATGGATGTCAGATCTAGATAGCCTCTGTTTACTATATAAATGTCCATTTTTATTAACAAAATAATTTACATTTTATTTATAAATTTATAATAATAGTTTACTGGAGTTATATTAGTCATAGTAATTCATAAATTGTTTATTAGTTAACTACTACAGAACAAGTAAAATAACAGTATTAATTATATATGAATCGGAACTTCTGTCACAAATCAGGGCATCTGTTCATTTTTGCCAAGGGTTAGAATGTAGTAACTGTGCACTTTGTGAAGTATATATATATATATATATATATTACGATAAACGTGCAATCAATTTACAAATACATGAATTATTCACACAAAAACTAATGCAAAGGTTAATGATTTAAATGGCAAGACATCCATCATCGCAAACAATTCAAATAGTATACAAAAACCTCCGTATCCGTTATGAATGAAATGATCCCTGTTTATATAAACTTCTGCCGTATTAGTTCTTATTTTTTACTACAAGCTTTTGTCTGTTCCTACAGACATCTTCAGGTATAGAATAGATGTTGTTCTTGTTTTCTCTTAGTAATAAGAGGACAACGAAAATATATGTATTGTTGTATCCGAAATGCTATTGAAAATGAGTTATTGTTTTTTGAGCGCATAAGCAACGCTGAGTTTGATTTTAAATTTTTTTAAAAGTTGTGCGTTCTTATAAATATGGTGATGAACAAATTTTTTTACTGGTAAATTTTTCTGTCAAAGTGGCATGAACTATATTGTTCAATAATTACAGTAATTCATAACGGATATGGAGGTTTTTGTATACTATTTGAATTGTTTGCGATGATGGATGTCTCGCCATTTAAATCATTGACCTTTGCATTAGTTTTTGTGTGAATAATTCATGTATATATATATATATATATATATATATATATATATATATATATATATGAAGTAAAAGGTTTGTCATTTAGCTGATTGATGTTGCCTTCAGCATCCCACCTACAGAGCTTCATAGATGAATCCTCTGGAAATCACTGTCCACTCGTCCGGGGATAAAAGATGTGTTATATATAATTGGATTCATGATGTAATTCATTAAAATATTTTGTTCCTCTTTGGCTCCACACAATTTACAAATTTTTATTTCAAGAATAATCAATACAGTGCAATGAAAGTTGAGGATGAATGGCGAATACATTTTCTCAGAACACTATCAACAGCTGCTATAACCATTGTCAGTAAATCAGGATAAATAGTAGCTAACATAGATATACCATAAATACTTACTGGAGATGAGTTTTTTAGGTTGTATCCAAACTGGGCTGGTCCAGCACTTAACACGGTATTTTCATCTCCAGCCGGAGGAAGGAGTTGAACAATGAGAGGCTCATGTTGAGCTGGAAAAAGAAAAAACGATTTCAAAATTTGTTTGGATATTCTTTGTGTTATACCTTACCTATGGACTATAATGGGTATGTCCCAATCCTTATAAACACAGTGGAATATACTGTATGTTGATTCACTGTGGTATTTCACTTGATTCACTTCTAGCTCACCTCTAGCATTACTTACTTACTACACACCGCTGGCGAATCTTGTATGTTGTTCCTGCTATAAATTTTATCGTTTCATTTCCAACCTTCGTTTTGGTTATTCTTATTAAGTAACCTTTTCCTAGGTTACAACACTATGAGTTGCTGATGTTGCAATGTTTCAAACAATCCACTGTTCAGCCTTCTTCAGGTGTATAAATACATAAGTGATAACATGAAAAAACAAGAAAAAAATCACTTTACAACACTGGAGGTCAAAATTGTCACCAAAGAATTCACTCCCTTTGTTGCTTGAGATGGTTTCTATAAATAAACACTTGTCAACTGTTATTTCTGATATTTTAAGCAGGAAATCTACTGCTGCTTTGGAATGAGGCTAAACTTCTGTTTTCCAACACCATTTTGAATTCTTCTAGATTCTACATGAGGTATAAAAACCCACGTTAAATTTTTCGTGATTTTTTGTAAACAAAAATGGCTGCATCAACATTCAACGAAGCCTTTATTCAGGAGTTTTTCTTTGATTAGGACTCCAATGATGATTTTGAAGACTTTACTCAAGTAGATATTGACGGTGAAATGGTCAAAGACAATAACCATGCTAGTGACATGGAGGAAAGTGATGATGATCACTAGCAGCTACTATCACCCATGGCTGCCTAATTTTATGGTAGCTACTGGCGACCATCAATATACCTGATAGCCTTTCCGAAGCTGAATTATTTCATCTATTTATAAACGAAAAAATAATAACTTTGTCAACAAGACAATAAATATGATAATCAAGTGAAAGAAAGAGCAAACAAATACTGGTGTCTTCTCGTATGTAAACACAAGGAATCACATCACTTTTTTGACGAAATAAAAGCTTTCTTAGCGATTTTGCTTCTTATTGCACCCCCAGAACGCCACAAGGAGTAATAAAAGTTAAAGTATATTGAATTTTTTATGTATTTTTTAATGTATTTGTTTTTTATTTTGCATTTCAATTTTTTTTTCAGCATCAAAACATGCATGCAAAACATAATGCATTACATCAAAATATTACTCATTTATTCTTTTATTAGTGAACAAAAATGAAAGTCTATGCACACAATACAAAGAAAGTTAAAAAAATTTTTAAACAGTAGGCGTTTATGTTTTTGCACCCTCAAGAAAAATGCAGTGGCAGTGGGAACAATTCTAGAAAGAAATTAGCGTGGTAAAGGTTAATTGGAAAAGTAAAGAAATACACCTGGATAAACCTTAAATATTTGTTGCTTTCTCACCTGGCAAATATAAACAAATGTATCATCAAGACCAAAAGAATAAAATCACCATTTTGAGATTATTATGAGGGAAAATAATTGTTGAAATTATTTTAAGCTTTGTATGGTACAAGGCAAACATTTATGGAGTGCCGATTGAAATGTAAACTCACAAATAGCTTTCAAGATAATCAGAGAAAAAATAGGATCATAAGTGACCAAACTTACTTGATTTAAGAACCACTTACGATAAACTTGAGATAACTGACAACTGCAATATATGAACATTCTTCTGCAAGAGTTCCTGATAAAATTTTTTTTTAATCCATTTCCCACCATTCCTTCAATCAAGACTGAAGAACAAATCCTCAATCAAATATTGCCCTATTGACTGGACAAGAACTTATCAAGAACATCCCACACAGAGAGGTAAGATCTGAAAAAAGGAGCTACCAAACAAAATGCTTATAGACTCAAATATAAACAACTAATATTTACCTATCACCAAACAAAATGCTTATAGACAACTAATATTTATTATCCCTGAACCAAGTAAATACTTATAGACTCAAGTATAAACAACTAATATTTACCTATCCCCAAACCAAGTAAATGCATATAGACTCAAATAAAAATGACCAATATTTGCCTATACCCAAACAAAATAAATGCTTATAGACTCAAATATAAGCAACTGAAACTTACCTATTCCAAAACCAAATGCTTATAAGCTCAAATATAAATGACCAACATTTACCTATCCTCAAACCAAGTAAATGTTTATAGATTGAAATATAAACAAACAATATTTATGTATTTCTGAACCAAATAAATGTTTATAGACACAAATATAAACAACCAACATTTACCCATAGATTCAAATATAAACAATATTTTGATGAGAAAATGAGCTAAACCAATGTGTTTCCAGAAACCTCACATATCCATCAGTTTCTTAAACTTTATTATTGCTTTATGCAACATTTCAGTTACTGTACTTACCAGCTTTACTCAGTTGTCTTTCACATACAGAAATATTCCAGTATTACCAAACAGTGTCTTTTTATTCGATGTACAGGAGGTTCAATTATATATATATTTTTTTAATCCAGTATTATAGGTGTGATGAAGTAATTGGGAGTAATCTCCCTTGTTTTATGATTACTTCCCTTTGGAGAATTCTTTTGTTAGTAGAGGACTATAAATAGTCACTACACTGGTATCAATTATTCTAAGCAGAATAAAGCTTCCTTAAGCCTATTCTTGCTCTTTTTGCTATTACAATAGATTAAATGTAACATTTAAACTATATATATATATATATATATATATATATATATATATATATGTATGTATATGTATGTATGTATGTAAGCAAATATATGAATATAGATCCGACAGTATGAAGAAAAATATATACGGAAAAAACAAACAAAAATACTTATATACAATTATGCTGTTTTAATGTTAATATGTCAACGTCGGACGTTTTGGTCTAATAAACCATCATGTTTTTTCTGTATATATTTTTCTTAATATATATATATATATATAAAAGACCGGTTATAATGCTGTATGGAATGTATATTTATTTCTGATTCAATACAGAAATTTTGACACAAGGTTGAAGGGGAAGTGGGGAAAGGCTAGTACTCAGTAACTATCCTAGTCAAATACAATCACAACCCATTCATTCAATACAATATACTCAATCACCACAAGAACTTGTCCATCACCTCTCAATCCTACATGTACCATAATACCGCATATTCACAAAGGGACCCCATGATGTAAAAATTTATAATGTCTTTTTTTTTTTTTTTTTTTGGTATTTTTTCCAATCCTGTATGGAATGATTGCAAAATACTATCCCCCTCCCCAATTTATAAGCAGAAGCACACAAATGCATGCTGGGATTTCTTCCTAGCCAATAAAATAGGCCACTTGTCAGTGTCATCTGACTCAGTCCCAGTCTGCCTTGCTTTGAAGTCAAAACGCTACAGTCACTTTTCCAAATTTGCTTTTTGGTGTCAACCCCAATTCTTAGCTTGTGAATTTTTTGCTTTATTAATATTGCTTTGCCTTGCATATATTGTTTGCATGCTTTATATTATCTTTTTTTGCACTGTTCTTTTCTTTTTCTTGCTTATTACAAACTCTGTCAATTCTGTTTGTTGGGCAGTTCTGCTATTTATTTACATTTAACCATGGCCTGTCACACTACAAAGACAATAACCTGGGACATTGATCTAGAATTGAAACTATTCAGTTTTACACTATCACCTTTAATCTTGCTAGTCTAAAGATTGCAATTAACCTGAAACTCTTTCCTGTTTGTTGCTACGATCCTGCCTTGTTTTAGTTTCCCCATTTTGGGTGTCTTGATTCTATAGACATTGAGTACTGTATGCTTTTGTCTAGGTAGGGGTGTTTGTTTCTATATATTTTTTTGTGGGGCTGGTTCATACAAGGTTTTCTTTTTGGGACAAAGTATGTAAAAACTGTCCAAAAGTTCTGCATATCTGAGCACTTTTGGCTATTCTGGCCATAGTGCAAATAGGACTCATTTAAACACACATGGAAACCTACTAAACGCCATCCATAATATACCAGCAGAAAATACAAGTATAATAGCCTCATCCACATGTAAAAATACTAGAAGCATTAATAATAAAAAAGGAAAGGCCCACACACAATAACATTAACTATGAACATGGCCACAACATGCTGATTGTGTTTGGAAAATAAAACATTCTTATAACTTCAGTTACATACATAAAAAAAAAAACCCATAAATTTATTTAAAAATAAAAATTGTCCTTCAAAATGGCTAAAAAATAGCTGAAAGCACTCAGATATGCAGAACTTTTGGACAGTTTTTACACACTTTGTGTCCAGAAAAGAAAACTCTTGTACAAACACAAGAAAAATTAAATAAAAAGCTTAATTGTAGTATCTTGTCTGCATCTTTAATGAAATATATGTGTGTGTATGTTTGTGTGAATAAAGAGAAAAGGAAATGACATGTTCTGTCCTCTGAGGGACTTTATCAAAATAAATAAGTCCCTCAGAGGACGAAACATGTTCACTAAGGTAAGTTTTCTTTTGTTTTATACACACATACATTATATATATATATATATATATATATATATATATATATATATATATATATATATATATATATAGGATTAATGCAAATAAAGTTTGTCACTTAGCTGATTGATGCAATATTCAGCACCTTGACTCTAAAGTTTTGTAAATTAATTTTTTGTAATTGTTCAGACTACTCATCAGGTTTCAGCAATTGATTACTGTTTTTCTCATTTTTTTGTTATCTTTACACAAAGTTGGATGCAACTAGAATTCCATTATTAATACTAATGTTTCAGATGTTATAACGACAGATACAAGTATCCAGTTTCTGGGAATTTTGTATTATTTTAAACTAAGCCTCAAAATCACTTAAGTTGCTTACAGCATTTGGGAAGTGGAAGGAAATAAAAGAATAAGTGATTGCACAGCCCAAAACTTTTTAAAGAATTGCTCATTGAAATAAAAATCAGCAGTGAACAACCATAAGTTGTTACTCTTGCCTTGATTGCGGCCAGTCTAAGAGAAGGAAAACTATGAATTCCAAAATGTGACAAAGGCAATAGGAATCCACACCAATATCTTTCCTAAGAATGCATGACAGTTGATAGATAATAAAGAAAAAGAATCTGTGGAGAGCCATGATTGTCCTAAAGGGACATGGCATTAAAAATAAGAAAAGAAGGGTTGGGAATATAAGATAAAAGAAAACCTAACCACCAGCACTTGGAAAGTTCCAGAATAGCTAACCTTGTATAGAGCATGACATATATTTAAAAAAATCATAAAGGACTCTCAAGAGTATTAAAAACAAAAATGAGGAAAAATAATGATGCACTCTAATAATTTGTACAATAACAACAGGTTTGGTTTCGCTGATGTTGTTTAGTGGCATATCAACACCTCTATGGGTTATTTCATGCCGAAATCTAAATATTTTGAACACAATTTTATGGCTTCAACTAAATATATTTTGAACGCAATTGTATGTCTTCAACTACAGATAAAATGTATTGTTGGTCATTTTGTTTAGCGGCATATCAACATCTCTATGGGTTATTTCATGCCGAAATCTAAATATTTTGAACACAATTTTATGGCTTCAACTAAATATATTTTGAACACAATTGTATGCCTTCAATTACAGTGAAAATGTACTGTTGATCATTTTGTTTAGTGACCTATCAACACCTCTATGGGTTATTTAATGCTGAAATCTAAATATTTTGAACACAATTTTATGGCTTCCGTTACATTTATTTTGTACATAATTTTATACTTTCAGGGTAAATGCAATTTTTTTAGATATATAATTTGTACATAATAAAATGTATTGTTGGTAAGTTTACTATAAAAATGTATTATTGGTATGTGTTATTACTAGTATTTTTACTATAAAAGTATATTTTTATACTTTCCTCATGTTTTAATTTTTGTTTGGAGGTTCATTATTTACCCATAGCTGAGACCCTAATAGGTGATACCACCTGGGGTCAGGATGAACCTGGAAACAACAGCAATTAAGAGATGGATCCCTGCTCCTCAAAACCTCCAATCTCCCAATCAGAGGCCTTGCTGCTGGATATAGTTCATAGCCATAATCAGGGCTTACAACAGATATTATTACAATTATTAGCATCAGGTGACCACTCCAGGTATTTGTCCAAATTATTGAGAGGGTGATCTGATAAGCAAGGCAATGATGCCACTAGGACACAGGGTTTACAGAGAGTGAAAGAGAATTATAAAACTTTAGTGTGAAATGAGGAAAAGGACAGGATTCAAGAAGGCAAGATGGCAATTGATGTTGCATTTAAATTTTTGAAGAGTGTAGGTGACAGGAAAGCAAGAAATTGGAAAGGAGTTCTACAAGTGAGAAATGTGAGAAAAAAACCGTTAGAATAAAAGTAGCAGTTGCATCTAGTAAAACTGTCAGACCTAATTGCCAATCTAGCAGCCCATTGAAATTCATGTAGTCAAGGAACCACAAAAAGAAGATCATTACAAATACTTCATCTACTTTGACAATACATTTAACCTAACGCTTTTCAGTAAATAACATACATTGAATATTATACAGAAGAAGTTTTAGATACAAATGAGTGTGTCAGGCTATGGACTTATTGAGCCATTCTCAGATTTCCTTAAAAGATTATATGGAACGTCTAATTATTATATATTTCAAACAGCTGGAGCAAAGTGATCTTACCTTCATTATGCTGATTTTTCGAAAGTTCTATCATTTCTTGCATAAATTTCATTCCATCTTCTGCATCCATAGGTGAGGCAGCCTGAAAAATGCAACACAAATATTACGTATTTGATGAAAATCAATTATTTAATCTTACAAATGTTATATGACAAATATATATATATATATATATATATGCATGTATATTTATCTATATTTAGATGATATGTATTTACATTAGTGGACTATTGTCCTCATCTTTATCGCCATATTTGTCAAACGTTTCGCCGTTGTACGCCCGGCCTTCTTCAGGTGGTTGGAATTTCAGAACTGAACCCTTTATTTCGATCGCTGGGGTAGAATTCTGTAATTCCACGTGCCATGGATGTCATTATCATTCTTATCAGGTGAGTTCAATTCCTGGTTAAGGCAGAGAACTTTCAGAGGGAAAATTAGCAGGAGATAACTGATAACTCATCCATCAAATCAGTTAGAACAGAGCATATGTAAAACCACCTAAAAGAGGACATTGAAACGCTGAGATGCCAATACTGTGCATGTGTGTGTGTATTATAAAAATACAGTTTTCTGTTATGCTATATTTAATAAAAGTGTTCAATATCCTGATAGACTATGTAAATATAAAAGAGGACATTGAAACAGACTGTCTGTTTCATGCTTAAATGCAATGGCCTGAAGACTGTGTTTAAGCATGAAACAGACTGTTGCCGTTGGGTACTGACTTCAATGACCACTTTTATAAGATAACAATATATATTTTATATAACAAGAACACTATTGGAGGAAAAGTGTATGGCAAATTGTAAAAAAAAGTTTTCATATGATGCATTTCATCCTTTAGCACTTCATTGGACTTTATTCGTTATGTTCGTGAAACTACACATGCACACGAATGAGGGATGCTGGGAATTTTTTTTGTAAATATTCCAGCCGATTTTATATTCTTTTCTTTTTCTTCCCATCACTTTGTTATTAGATATCCCACATGGTGAGAATAGAAGATCTTCCAAGAATGGTGAAATGCTGTAAGAGCCAGTGTCCCAGACTAACTGTTACAATTACACACATGAAATGTATGCATTATGAGACAACAATATTAATTGTAACTATCAGTGTCCCAAAATAATTGTTACATTTACACACATGAAATGTATGCATTATGAGACAACGATATTAATTGTAACTATCAGTGTCCCAGACTAACTGTTACAATTACACACATGAAATGTATGCATTATGAGACAACAATATTAATTGTAACTATCAGTGTCCCAAAATAATTGTTACATTTACACACATGAAATGTATGCATTATGAGACAACGATATTAATTGTTACTATCAGTGTCCCAAACTAACTGTTACATTTACACACATGAAATGTATGCATTATGAGACAACGATATTAATTGTAACTATCAGTGTCCCAAACTAACTGTTACATTTACACACATGAAATGTATGCATTATGAGACAACGATATTAATTGTAACTATCAGTGTCCCAAACTAACTGTTACATTTACACACATGAAATGTATGCATTATGAGACAACGGTATTAATTGTAACTACCAGTGTCCCAAAATAATTGTTACATTTACACACATGAAATGTATGCATTATGAGACAACGATATTAATTGTAACTATCAGTGTCCCTAACTAACTGTTACATTTACTCACATGAAATGTATGCATTATGAGACAACGATATTAATTGTAACTACCAGTGTCCCAAAATAATTGTTACATTTACACACATGAAATGTATGCATTATGAGACAACGATATTAATTGTAACTATCAGTGTCCCAAACTGTTACATTTACATACATGAAATGTATGCATTATGAGACAACGATATTAATTGTAACTATCAGTGTCCCAAACTGTTACATTTACATACATGAAATGTATGCATTATGAGACAATGGTATTAATTGTAACTATCAGTGTCCCAAAATAATTGTTGCATTTATATACATGAAATATATGCATTATAGGACAGAGTTGCTATTTTTATCATCTCTGTCCCACAATAACTGTTACATTTATATATTAATTTTATACATGAAATGTAACAATTACAATGAAACAGGTAATACTTTCCATACACAAAATGTAACAATTATTATGGGATAGGGTAATATTTATTAAAGATTTATCTTATTGAATTGATAATTAATATCTTCAAAAAAATTTTTTTTTTGTCATTCAATGTGGTTGGTTCAAACTCATTTCTTTATCTTTTGTTTAATAACACAATATTTCAGCCATATGCTGTCCTGCCTTTCTCAGATGTCAACTGTATTTCTGCAATATCTTCAAAACAAAACAACAAAGACAAGGATAAGAGAATTATGAAGGACGTACTGAACAGTTCCCAGCCCATCCAAAAATTCTGATGTCCGGTCAGATTTTGGAAACTGAATTGGACAATTTTTCTGGACCTCACCCACCTCATACATGCACATAACCCCATAACTTAATGATAAAAAAGTATTTATTTTACACAACAAATATTGATTTTTCAACATAATCTTCTTTCTTGCCAATAAACTTAATGCAGTGGTAAATATCATAAAGATCATATCATAAATATCATAAAGGTCATATCATAAATATCATAAAAATCAAACAATTTACAATGAAAATTTAAAAGCAACATTTAGATATGTATTATGTTGAGAAAAAAAAAAAAAATTACTATATTTGATGGCATATAAGGCACTTTTTTCCACAAAAAATATCTTTTAAAATACCCCTGCATCTTATATGCCATATGTAGGTTTAAAATTTGTGATAGTCTGCTGAAATTAGCTACCTGGCAACTCCTATTAGCTTAGACTTTAGAATAACTTTTATATACCTATAATGTCATTATTTAAAAGGCTATTATACAGATTAAAAGTGTTATCATTGATAATATTCATTATATTAATTTCATCACATTTAATATTAGTAATTTGTTTCACTTAAATTATATGCAATAAATTCAAATTATATATTTGTAAAATATATTTGTTTCATCAATATTTTTCTTGCGAGAACTTCTGGTTGCATTAGTATATATACAATCAGAATTTTTATATCCTAATTATTTCAACAAGACATTTACAAGACGCAGGTTGTACAGATCATATAAAGGATATAATAAAGTTTTTATAGACTCATGTTCTTTTTTCCTGTTATTTTTCATTTAATTGTAATCATGGTTTGTTTAACCAAAGTAATACCTCATAAATATAGCCTAGGCTGTACCATTTACTAATAATTTTACTAATTACAAATTTTTTCTTGATTTGACTTGCTGAAATTGGGGTGTGTTTTATACACCTGTGTGTCTTATATGCCATCAAATGCAATATTTATTAACTTTATTCAAAATATTGTAACTGATTTCCAAAAATGGAAATTACTTATGACTCAACCTAATGTATATCAGGTGACCTGATTGAGTGATCATATATATATATATATATATATATATATATATATATATGAAAACTGATTTTAAACCTCAGCTGCCTTGCAGGCACACCTAATGATAGGAATAACTTTGGGAGTAAACCTTGAGGACAAATCCAGAGCTGGAGTTGAACATGACAGTCTGGTGGCATGTTCAACTTGGTTCTGGTGACTCCTGCGATGTTGCTAAGTTGTATTAGCCTCTACCTTTCTCTTGGACAACATCAGTGGCATGGAAAAGGGAGACATGCTGTATGGGCAACTGCCAACCTCTCATAAAACCCTGTCCAAGCCTGCACTCTTGAGTGGAGATGCTTCACCCCCATCAACAGATGAGGCATAACTCTTTGGGCACAGATCCATGGTCTGTAGAGACCGACAGATATGATATAATTTATATTTGGCCAACACTAACTTAAAAAAAAAAAAAAAAAAAAGATCATTAAAAGTAATAGACATAAAATGTCTATTGTTTTTAATTCTATATTTCAATGAGGTGCAACCCAAGGGTTCAGGGAATGTAAACAGTACACATTAATGTTGATAGACATTTAGCAGGGAATATTGTAAAAAACCACTGGAACATGGGAACTACTTTATCTAAATATACTATGTTTCCCACAATTTAACAGCAAACTCTAATTTCACAAGGAATATTTAGTCAGGGGGATTCAAAATATGCAGTTGATGAATTATCTATAATTATCTTATTAGAAGGAAAGTTTTGGTGTTTTCTAAATAAATTAATGTTCAACAAAAAATGGTGGTAGCTGAAACCTATTTACAAGGGAATTTGGTAAAGTGTTTTTTTTTTTAAAGTGCACCTCATATGGAAATAAATGGGGTATTTGATCACAAGCACTAAACTTGGAGAATAAACATGCATCTGCCAAATAAGCTCTGCCAGGAAAGCACTCTGTAATCCACCAACTGAAAATTATCTAAATTCACAGTGGCTAATTACTCAATGAGCTAATCGAGTGAAGTTACACAGGAAAGCACTTTTAAGATACCTTGATTTAAAGACAAAAGTTATTTTCCATTGTCAACTCATGTTCCATCCAATTTCAGCAAGGTCTCACTATACGTAGTTTCATTATATTGTAAACAGGTTTATTTATTAAAAATAAACATGCTGAAAAGTTCTCAACACAAATAACTTTCCAAAATCTAACCAAATATCAATTTCAGTAGAATCTTGATCAGGCTAAGAACTTTTTAGCATCTCTTCAATAATGCAGGAATTGACACTATATATATATATATATATATATATATATATATATATATAGTACAACAGGTAATAAATCCATTGGTATATAATCCAAGTGGATCCTAATAATATAAAATATTGAAATTGATCCACAAAAAGAGCTCAATGTATTTAGAGATAATTTTTGATTTCTCTGTTATGCAATATATATATATATATATATATATATATATATTATATATATAAAATATACCTCTTATTCCTCGCTGGAAGCATGATTCACAGTTTCATGTACAACACAATCTTCATGTGCTGAGTAAAGACTGTCCATTACATAATTTAAAAAAAAAATATCTGGTTAATATCTGGCATAGCCTATATATTATATGGGTGCTATGGGTTTTTATTTAAAAAAAATCAAATATAATCTATATATATATATATATATATATATATATATATATATATATATATATATATATATATATATATATTGTATTTAAAATAGATGGGATTTACATTTTATATTAGACATAAATGGGAATTATTTTTTTTTTTTTTAAATTTGTATAAAAATAAAGGGACCTAAAACTACAAAAAAAAAAAAAATTATCATCTATTTTAAATACAAAAATATTTTGTATTTAAGATTTAGGTATTATATTTAAAATAAATGGTGATTAAAGGTTTTATTTTAGATTTCAAATAAACTGAGATTAATTGTGCTACTGGTGAGGAATAATATATAAATTTATTAATATATACTTAATAGTTCTGTTATATAATGGGAACTATTTATTAACATCAGCACACAATGTGCAATATCATATATATATATATATATATATATATATATACACACACACACCTGAAAAGAAATACTTTTAATTAACCAAAAAAGAACAAACTTACATAAAGATCTTGCAGAGGAGAATGGAGTATAACGAATTCTTGCTAAAGCACATGAAAAAAAATATTCAACAGATAGAAATAGATTAGATAAGTATAAGGTCAGAAAGAAAAGAAAAGTAAAACAGAAAGGAAAACCTAAAAGCATTTCAAGGAAAGAAGGAACCAAAAGCTTTTTTTTTTTTATTTCCTAGATGAAGAATTTTCAGTGCATCTTATTGTGGCTTCTTATCACAAAACTTTACCTAAATACATACTTCATTATTTCCATCTAATTGTAGTTTTTTATATGAAAATTCAGGCTTGGTACAATCTTCTTTATTATAATTATTTTATTATTAGTTTTACTTTATTGTGTTACTGAAGTCTACTTCAACACTTTACTTCCAATGTCTCTACCCAAATTCTGAAATTTTATCTACTTATTTATTTTTTCTTCAATAGGAGTAGATAAGTTTGCCTATCGTCCAGTTTGCACTCCACCCTGTTCTTCTGAACAGGTGTAGAGGTTTATCCTTTGTTTCCTGTTCAGAATTGGGTTTCCAGTCCCTTCTAAAATTCTATACTTCCAATGTCTCTACCCAAACTCTGAAATTTTATTTACTAATATTTCCTCAATAGGAGTAAATAGGTTTGCCTATTACATGGTTTACACTCCTCCCTGGAATTTTGAACAGGTGTAAATGTTTACTGCTTCCTGTTCCTTCTAAAATCTTTTCATTATCTTTCATTCCCAGCAGCCCCTTGCATCTTAGCTGCATTAACACCATGCTTGGGGTGGATTAAAAAAAAAAAAAAAAAAACAAGGAAGAGAGAGACAGAGGCATAAATATTTAATAAAACCTGAATTTGGAAAATATGAAAAAAAGAAAGAAACCAATTTAAATGTCTTCAAATTCATAAAAAAAAAAAAATCATCAAATCCTAAAGGGAAAAGCATAATTTTAAAAAGAAAGAAGTTTTGTTCATTGAATAATAAACAATGCATTAGCAACTCTTCAATATGAAGAGTTGGAAAGATAGAAACCTCTATTTTAATAACAATGTTTTTTTCCAAATATTATACCCAAAAAAGCCTCCAAATACCAAAACTCAATCCAGCCACATTAAGATTTTAATTAGCTCTCATCAAACATGGCATAATGATCAATTAATTGTTAATTAAAGCAAGCTTTAAAACACACCAATTATACATTATAGAAGAAAAAAAGAAAAAAAATTTTAAAAAGTTTATAAAATTCTAATTACATTTTTCAAAATCAGCTATTATTTTCTAAATTCAAATTTTTTGGATAAACCTATAACATGGTTCACTCATATTGACAAATTTTCACCATCAAGAGGTGGGGGTCTTCGGTCCTATCTACAACAGAGATAATACTGCACTATTCAAGTGAAAGCAAAGTTTGAAAATAATTTTTTAATATTAAATCCTACCAGCTATCCCTCTGTAAGCAGGAGGGTCTCTTAGGTTTAAGTATAATTAGTGTATACAGGATGTGGCAGAAATACCTCCCATATAATGGTAAAACATTAATTAGATGAAGATACCATTGCTACTAATGTCCAATGAATTATGTGGGAGATATTTCTGCCGCTTATTATATATATATATATATATATATATGTGTGTGTGTGAAATTAGATGTTTACAACTATTACATTAATAGGCAGTAATATATGGAGGATCATTTTATTACTGAATAATGGACTATTGTCCTCATCTTTGTTCTTGTTATCACAACATTTTGGCTGTTGTGCTCTCTGGCCTTCAAAGATGAGGACAATAGTCTGAAAGTAAATAATGATAACTCCTCATCCCAGAAATTCAGACAGAAGGCGATCAGGTGATAATAACAACAATGATGAGGACAATAGTCCATATGTATTAATGATAACTCCTCATCCCAGAAATTCAGACAGAAGGCGTTCAGGTGATAATAACAACAATGATGAGGACAATAGTCTGAATGTAAATAATAACTCCTCATCCCAGAAATTCAAATAGAAATGAACAAAAAACAAAAAACATAACAGTCAGGATTTTGTGCCCACAGTGTTCAACCCCTTTGTTCTACTCAATTCGGGTTTTTCAAAGTTTTGACCAGTAAAATAGGGTTTGCCATTTTTGTTAAGCCAGGAGGATTATTATTACATAGCTGTTCAGTAAATATACAAAACTAGAAAGGGGTGTAAGACAAGGATGTGTCTTCTCACCAGACTTACTCCACTTATACTGTGAGGCCATTCTGAGAAAATCAGGAGTCCTACCAGGATTCATTATTGGCAGCCACAATCTTAACAAAACAATATGAAGATGAGACATTGTTTATATTATAGCAGACATAGAAAGGAAACTACAAGAACTTCTACTAAAGGTAGTGAAATAAAGCAAGAAGAAAGGACTAAACATCAATTGCAAGAAGAGAATTCATAGTTGTGAACAAAAGGATCAACAGGCAAATTACAAATTGGAGATAACAAAATCAAATACAAAAATTTAAATATCTGGGATGTATTTTAACAGATTATGGAAAGTGTGACAATGAAATCCAAAAGCGCATTGGGATAGTGAAAGATGCCTTTCAAAGATATTAAAAAACAGAAAAATTTCATTAGAAACAAAGAAAAGCGTATTGAACTGTTACATATCAGTCTTCCTATATGGCAGTGGATACTGGACAATTTCTTCTCACAGATGAAGTGGCTTGAGGTAACAGAAATGTGGTTCTATAGAAGGATGCTGAGAATACCATGAACTGAACATGTGAGCAACAATAAATATCAGTCCTTATATATGGCAATGAAGGCTGAACAATCACCTTATTGATGAAGAAGAGATTTGAAGCAACAGAAATTTAGTTCTATAGAAGGATGCTGAGAATACCATGAACTGAACATGTGAACAACAACAAAGTTTTAGAAAAAATGTAAACAAAAAGGACACTTTATACTTATCAAGAAGAGATAGTTGAAAGTTCTACATCATGAGGAAAGAGGACTTGGAAAATTAGATACTCACAGGATAGATTGAAGGCAAGAAAGACAGTGGAAAACAATGCATAAGCTACCTAGTGAACTTGAGAAAATAGATGGTGGAGCAAGGTTTCAGAGAGATAACAAAAAGATAAAATTTATTAAGAGTTATAAAAGACAGGAAATTGTGGAGAGCCATGATCGCCTATATACTGAAGAGACATGGCACATAGAAGAAAAAGAATTCAATTCAAGCCTTGTATTAATGTGAGCTTAGTATTACAAATATGAGTGGGTCCAGAGCTGAGTAGTTAAAACATTGACATTTCAATCAAAGATTACAAAAAAGAATTTGCAATACTATTGGTCTTGACTTGGCATCTCGGCTTCAGTCACTTTCCCATCACTGTACTGTAGCTATATTTTTATGGTAATTGTTATGATGAACTTTCATCTTTGGTACCTAGATGCTTTGAATTTAAGTGCAGTAGTACATTGACAGCAAGATCTCATCATTTTACAGTTGAAATGGCTAAATGTAACTGTAAGTGCTAACAGTATCTTCTCTTGTATTTCTCACTTGTGGAACTCTCTTCTGGCTTCTTGCTTTAGAGTCAACTTTCAAAAAGTTAAATGCAATATCAATCATTATCTTTCGTCTTCTTAATTCCTATTCTTTTATTGTTTTCTCTCCTTAATGTTTTTCTTTCTATTCTCTCAGACTCAGTAACCCCTTGCATCGTAGTGGATTTATCGCCTTGCATAGAGTGAAATGATTACAAAAAAAAAAAAGGATCAAGATTCAAACATCATTATGTGTGATTTTTCATGGAGGTGACTTCTTGATACTAACAGCCTGGGGAAAGGATCCCAGCATGTGGTACCATTGGGAAGTGTTTGAAAAACTATACCAAATCTTGGGTGTAAAATTGGGGAACATGAAGTTGCAAGTCACCGTGACAGAGTTCAAGCATACTGGCCTTGTTCAATTACTGATAATTAAAGATTATGTATTCCTCTATCATAGATACTGTAACTAAGATCTTTTTAACATAGTTACAGTACACATCACAGGTTGGCTCTATGAGTGTTGAAACACAAATGTCTCTGAAATGGTGCTTGTAGCCAGCATAGCAGATTAGCACACACAGAAAGAAGCAGCCAGCCATCATCACAATTATCAGCTTTATCAGATTGATTCTAAATTTTTTCATTTTACTATCTTTTAGGTACAGCAGGTTCATTCTTTTAATTACTTCAAGACTAAGAGAGTAATGGTCATTAAATTCATTTCACAAAACATTACTACAATAGTAAACTTGATCTTTATTGGGTGCCCTAAACTTGTGGCCTTGTGCCAGACTAAGCAAAGTTTAGTACAAGAGAACATTAGTAAATATTCATAACATCCCAATAATGCCAGCATTCAGAAGACACATTCAAAAGGTCAAATTTATAGTAAAATGTCAGTTGTTAAATGTTGAAAATAATAATTTCTTAACCACATTTTGTATGATTTCATAAATGACGAAGTAACATGTCATTTTCATTGCATTCACCACTAGCTATGAATTGTTTTGAATCACTACCTGGTTGAGTGCTAGAGTAAGCTGTCCAAAGACAACCACTGCTTTCACTGTTTTATCACAATCTACGAAGAGACTTACTAGAGTAAGAAAACCCAGGACAAAACGATTGTTTTCACTATCCTTCATCACCATCAATGAAGAGAATTGAATTATTGTCTGGTTGATTCCTAAAGCAAGAAGACCTAGGACAAAAAGATTTCTCATGAGAAATTTCATTAGCCTCCTCCAAGTTGTTAAAAGAAAAATTCCAAAAGCAATGGAAGAAATTACTCAAAATTGAATAAAACAAATATTATTTTACAAATAACAGAAACAGAAATAGCAATCTAAAACCTAAAATTCATATGAACCATCAAAATTATTCAATCGTAATAATTGTAAATAAATTTAACTGTGGTTTTAAATGCAAAGGGGATAGAAAAAGAAAATTTAAAAAGTAAAATATTAGAAAAAAATATCTTTACTTATATGAAATAGTAT